GGATTGGTGGCAGGAATGTTTTCACGAGTCAAGCGGCGTAAGGCTCCAGGGAAGGATGATATACATGGCGACCTCCTGCGTATTTGCCCTCGTTCCGCTGCTCGGCACTACGGGCCGATTATGTTCAAGACGAGCGTGTACCAGCAAGAGCCCTTCGATTGGAAGCACGGCACTGTGTTTCCTCTACTTAAAACAGGCGGACCTGGACAGCAACTACAAACGTATCGTTCCATCCTGTTGAATGGGGTGGTGAGCAAGTGCTGGCATAAGTTTCTACGGCAGCAACTCACAAGATATCTTGACATACTCCTCCGCGATACTCAGTGTGGAGGTCGACCTGCCAAAGGCCCTGCGTTGCTGGTTCACATTGCAGTTTCGTTTATTCAAGCGGCGCAGCTTCAAGGTCGATCGGCTATTCTATATTTTATTGACTTGGTGCAGGCCTTCTATTCGGTGGTGCGCAGTATGGTTCTACCTCGACTTGGCGATCCAGACGGAGACGATGAATACATCATACACCATCATGACTTGCCCATAGCGATGCTTCCTTTGTTGACTTTTATCCTTTCACAACCAGCAGCCTTGGATGGCCTGGGAGCGCACCCTCACCTCCTGGCCTTACTGATCGAAGGACATCGAGACACACACTTCGGCACCAATACTATAAATACTGTTGCAAGGTCACGCAGGAGCTCGCGCCCAGGAAGCTCTTTAGCCGACGCGATCTTCAACGCAGCGTTCTGCAAGCCTCTCAAGAGCATTGACGAGGCCCTACGACCGCTAGGTGCCAGCTTGCCGCTGCGGGTGGATGGAGTCCAGAGCTGTTTTGCACCTGCGGAACTACAAGGTGACCTCCGCCTCACGGATATTTCCTTCGTTGACGATGCCCTAATTATGCAGTCTGTTGAAGTAGGACAAGATCCTATACAACTTGCTGGTGAAGTTGCGGATGCAGTCCATGTGGCTATGCTCTCTCACGGCTTTTTGGTCAACTACAAGAAGTCCAAGTCAGCCATGTTTATCATACCTAGCAGGCAAGCACCTGTCGACTTGAGAGATCGACTCGATAATGAAGATGAACTTTTGATTATACCTACACGGTGTGATATCCAGGTGCACGTGGTGAAGGAGTACAAGTATTTAGGGACGATGATCAACCGTCGCCTTGAGATGGGTCCTCGGATAGCACACTTGGTGCAGAAGCAGAAGATTGCGGCTATGCCTGTCAAGAAGATGATCTCGAAATTTGGGGGTATGTCGAGGCCAGCGAAAACGAATCTTGTTGATACCTTGGCCAACGTGCACCTCACCTACTTAGCCGAGACGTGGACAGCACTCAGCGAGTCACTCCTACAACGGCTAGAGACACCTCGAATAGCGACATATCGTGTGGCACAAGGTCTGCAGCACCATCGCCAGACCACTAGCTTCTACAACGACGAACAAGTCCTATGTTCTGCGAGGAGACTGCATCTGAGAGATATTATTCGTAAGAAGAGGTTAATGTACTTTGGGAAGATGTTTTTGCAGGCTCCTGTTGTCCTATGGCTACTTCTCGACCAGTTGGCTGACGAACGTGGATCTTGGGTCTCACTGCTTCGTGACGACCTGGAGTGGCTTGATAGTTATAGCAAGGATAGAGCTCGCGCAGCTTGGACGGTGCAGCAGTGGTTCCAGTACGCCAGACTGAACAGGAGGAGCTTCCTGAATGAAATCAAGACTACATGGGAGTATCACGTGTACAGAGAATTGGAGAATGTCCAAATGCAGATGGCAGAAAGAGGTCTCAATGCCCAGATGGCGCCGGCGGTCACTGCGGACTTGGAGAAGAAATTCGTGTGCTATACCTGTGGATGGGTATGCTCGAAGGAGTCGGCATGGCGCAAACACTTCTTGGAACATCAGCCGATTGACGGAGCCCAACTGGTCGCGCGAGGAACGCAGTGTGGAGCGTGTGGCACATCGTTCGGAGATCGTTCCAATCTTTTACGGCATCTGCGCAGACGAGGCAACAGGTGTATATCATGGCTGTTGGACAATGGGGATCTTCTCTCTGCTGATGAAGCTGAACTTCTACGGCAGGAAGATCTATTACGTGAGAGGAAGCAAGTTCAGCAAGGATACAACTACAGGGTGGTCAAACAGCGGGCTCGCTACGGAGACCCTCTTGGCGGCAAAGGTGACAGGCTTGTTCCTGTCAAAGCCCCTGAGGTATGGTTACCTGTACGTGAAGTACCCAACGCAGTTCGACGCATGCAGACTGGCGACCTCGGTACAATGGTATTGCTCAATGTCTTTCAAGCCGAGTGCGATGTTGAATTTTCAGAGGCGCTGCATCAGTCATGTGGCCTTGACATGGAAACATACCCTGGGCAGGACGAGGATGGCACGGTTGTTGGACTACAAGAGTCGCAGATGAGGATGATTGTCACTCGTATGCAGTCAGGCCACGTAGGGGCTATTGTTATTCATCTCAGTGGGAAAACTTGGCTTGGAGTCGGACCTGACCAGAGGCGTACCCTAACCGAACCCTGGGGTATCCGACGTCTGCCTCCCCAACGCCGACGGAGCTTCTCTGGAGACAACTCTCAGGTGAGGTCGGCGTGGAGACTACTGCAAGCAGGTACCATGGCCGGTGTTCCAGTGGCGGTCATAGTTGATCGCAAAGCTTACGACAACATTCAGAACTTCATGCCAGACTTTGAGACTATTGGTGCCCGTGTGGGCCACACTGAGATTGATGGTTGTATGTTTGGAACTACAGAAGCTAGAGAGATGATGATCATTCATACACATTGTGATTATGAGATGGAATTGCGGCACCATGGGCCTGAACGCTGCTGTCATGCCTACCATGGACAACAGAGCCAAGCGGGTGAACTTCCACGGGCTGTTGGTGTACTGATTGGCAGGGCTTTCAAAAGGGCCTTTTTTTTCATGACTCTGTCGACCAGTCTTCGCAGGAGCTTGTAAGTTGTTTTGGAGGTGTGCGTAGGTGAGTGTGGATTTGCATCAGTGCTTTGCCCAGCCTGTAGGCTGTGAGGTGCCGTGCGCACCGTGTGTTCCGTCGCCTAGGGCGACAACATCTTGGAGGAGGAGTTGTCTTATCGGAGTTGGTGGAGGAGGAGTAATCATATTCGTCCCCCTCCTTGGCGGCCCCTCGAGTACGAAGGTCTTACTCGGGCTCTGCGCTACCACGGAGTAGTTGGACTATCGAGGGGCCGACCAAGGGGGATGCTGTGCGGCCTTCTGTAGGGGACGGGGAGGGCAAGGGAGGCGCAAGTGGTAAGGCGGGTGAAACAAACCGTCGAGCGCCACCCCAAGCCTCCCCGTCCCCCAAATTCGTGCTTTGAGCTGTTGCTCGTCGTCCTGGCGGCGTGCCACCAGGGGCGAGCCCCTTCTCCCTCTTCTCATCCTAGATGATTCTCGTCGTCCCCTTCTCCTACTTGCTTGAGGTGGTCGTCTACCGACGGCCATAGTGCTGGCTCTGTGCCCGTCCGAGTACGTGGTTGGGAGGAGGGTGAGTACTTCTAGGTGGTCTGGTTGACGGGCACAGAGATTGCATGTTCCTTGTGGCGTCTCAGGCGCGCCGTGGCCTCGGAGAAGATCGAGGCATCTGTGCCCTTGCATCGCTCGGTAGTCGGGCTCCGACTGCCGAGCACACTGACGCTTCAGCGGCTGGACCGCTCTGAGCTCGGCCAAGAAAAAGGAGGAGGAGGAGGAGTGACGATGGCTTGCAACAGAAGGCCAGGGAGCCTGCATGAGGAGGTCACGAAATTCCAAGGCCTGAGAGGCTCGTGGAGTGGGCAGGGCTTGCACGAGGAATGTGGAGCTTGCATGAGCAGGGGGATTGCAAGAGAAGGGACTGCAGAGCTTACGTGAGGAGGAGGAGGAGGAGGAGGAGGAGGAGGAGAGACAGGGTGTTCTGGGAAAACAAGCACCCCACTCAGGATGCGGGGACAAAAGTAAAGGTGCGAGTGACGCCTGGACGCGAGCTTGGGGGCGCCGACCAGCAAAGGAAGAAGGGAACGCCGAAATTGACGAGTGATCATCCGAAAAGACGCGGCCCGCCTCGGAGCTGGCTCCGCCCAACTCTGGCCGCGGCGGGAAGGAGAGAGGGGGAACGAGGGAGGAGAGGGGAGGGAGGCGAGCCCGGTGCGCAAGGGCCACTCCTGACACAAGACGAGGCCAGGGCGGAAAACCATCGGGCGAGGATGAAGTCCCTGAGATCCGGCGGCTCTGGAGGAAGTGACGTCTCGGGCGCCGCGGCTTTCTCCGAGCGTTCCAGAGCGCTCTCGTTCCGGAGTGCTCCGGAACGGATTGTTCCTCGTCCTGGCCCCGTCCAGTGACATCCTACCCCTTCCACCCATCCCTTCCGCTTGCGATGGTTTCTGTTTCTATCCGCCGACGCGTGTCCTACCGGACCTGGGCCTCCAAAGACCACATCGTGCCATGCGCGTACATTGGAGGAGGAGAGCTGCGTGCATTGGAGGAAGTTGCGGATGAGCAGGAGGACGAGCCAGAGGGGCAGTTCTTTTTGGCATCAACGCCAACGCCTCCAAATCCTTGGACTGACCAAGAGCCAGAGGGGCAGGAGAAGGATGAGGAAGGAGGAGGACGAGGGCAAACAGCAGCAGACACCGAAAGAGTTTCGATCAAGCACGCCATACGAGAAAAAAACGCTTGACATTTTGCGCGTGAAATAATATGTGAAGGGTTGCGGGCCCCTCCCTGGCCATCTTCGGGGGAGGGCGGAGAGTAGTATTCACTCATACTGAGTAGCTGTGGAGGAAGGAAGGGCAGGAGAAGGAGAAGAGGAGAGAGTGAGAGAGAGAGGGAGAGGAGAGAGGAGGGGGGAGAGTGGAGGGGAGAAGCGAGGAGAGAGGAGGGGAGAGGGGACAAGGGAGGAGAAAGAAGGGAGGAGAAAGAAGGGAGGAGAGGACGCGAGGGAAGGCGCAGGAAGGGCAGCGCGGAGACCGCCCACCAGGGGCGAGGGGCGCCTCCTCGTTGAGGCCCGCAAACACTGTGCCGGACACCTTCTCCTGGGTGAGCGAGTGCCAGTCCAGGCGCCGCCCGAACAGCGGCTGCATGCTCGACTTGGCCTCCGTCGTCGTCTCCGCCGTCGTCGCAGACGCTGCCGCCGACGTCATCGCCGACATCGTCGTCCCCATATTCGTTCTCATCCTCCTCTCCCTCCTCGTCGCGGTCCTCGTCGTGGTCATGGACGTCCTCGTCCTCGGCGTCGTCCTCGGCAACGACGTCGCCCTCGTCGTCGCCCTCGTCGTCGTCTTCGTCGTCTTCGTCGTCACCCTCGTCCTCTTGGTCCTCGTCGTCATCACCGCAAACCGTTCGAGGAGGAAGGGGAAGAGGACGTCGAGCCGACACGTGGCCGCATGTCACGCCAGCTGCCCTTGACCGGCCCAGCCCAGACTTCGGGCGGACTGGAGAAACCAACCCGCCCGGAATCTGGGTGGGCCCGCCGCCGTTCCAGGGCCCGCGGGTCCGCGCAGGCTTCCTGGATCGGCGCTGGGCACCCCTGGCGGCGCCTCCGGCGTCAGGGAGAGGGGGTCCAGCGCCGAGTCGAGACATCCGCGCGGGCCTCTGACGAACGGCCCCGCTTGGATGAACGGAGGAGATCGTCTCTCTGAGAGCGCCCGAGGGGTGACGACCTCTTGCACAGCGTGGCGCTGCGACACGCTGCGCCTTCCTTGCATGCTGCTATCGTGTCGCCCTGCTTCGTGGGGCGGGAGACTGGGAAAAGCTGGGAACGTCAATGCTTGGGGACTGGGACTTGCTCAGTTGGTTGCGCCGAAGCCTGGTGGGCCACAACCAGCGCCGCGACACGCTCGGCTAACGTTCCTGACCGTATTACGCCCAGAGCTAGGCTGCTGTGAGGAGTTCTCCAGATAGACAGCACTTTCCGATAATCAACCGCCCCACAGCCGTGCACCTGTTGGAGATGCTAACGCTTCACGATCACGAGCGGCGAGGGAGGCATAATCAAGGGGAAATTTCGGCAAGGTAACGCGGCCGCCAGCCAAAGCAAATATTCGAGGGTTCGAACATTCCGGCATTGTGTTTTAAGAACGTTTGAAACGAGAGCACGAATGATTGATTCCTAAGAAAACAGACTCACGCCAACGTCAACGGAGGATGTGCCACAGCATCACACAGGGATGCTCGGTTTAGATACTGTGGTCCTTCTCCACCGTCTCGTTCCCGTCCTCGTCCTCATCCTCCTTCTCGCCTTCACATTATCTCCCTCCTCCTCCTCCTTCTTCTTCTTCGCATCCTAATCTGCCTCATCCTTCCTCATCTGCCCGTCTCCCCTCATTCTTCTCCGCCCACCATTCCCTCCCAATTGCACCGCCCCGCACACGGAGAGGGGCAAGCTGAGACATCGGCAGCTCTCCCTCCCGAACGAGAAGGGAGAGGAGGTGATGAGGAGGAGGAACAATGAACTATCGGACCCAATGTCTCCTCCCCACCTACGAGGGTGAAGGAGGAGGAGCAGGGCCCCCGATTACTGAACTGGTTTTCCCTGTCGTATCCCTGTCCGGTGGTCCCGATCGGCTGTAGGACGAATCGACCGGATGATGCGACGGAGCTTCTTTTCCCAGTGACCCGGCTGCCGCGCCGCCAGGGGCGCGCGTGCGGAGCCGCGCTGGGAGAAGCTGGGGCATCGATGTAAAGGAACACGCGTCTGCCCTCATGCCGAAACTCGGCGGCGCGCCGAGGGGCGAACAAAAGCAGGGGGCAAGCCTTCCCAAAAGGATCAGGAGGCTTCCGGGCATCTGAGAAGCGTTCGAATATTCCTCCGAAGCCAAAGAGGGGTTCCTACAAAAGGACGGGGGGAGGGCCTTCGCGAAGCCCCGCCGCCTTCTGAGAAGGCCTGCCCCTCTCAATTCCCCCCTCGGCGCGGCGCCGGCAAACGACGCCCACGCATACCCGGGGAAGCTCGCAGCACGGCAGGCTTCTACAGACACAGTGGGCACCACGAGCACGACGACGAAGACGAAGACGACGACGACGACGACGAGCAAGCAAACATCTTGCGGCGGGTGAGGCGAGGCCGCGTCGATAGAAATGGGAGCACAGGCTGCTTCTCGGCTGCCAGGCTGCGAGGGGGGCGACGGGGCGTGGCGGCTCAGCAGGCGAAACGTTCGCCTGGAAGCGGCGGTGCAGTGCCGGCAGGTCGGCGGTGCGTGGGCCCCCGGCAGCGAAGGCAGGGCGAGGTACAGTCAACCCGTACAGTAAGGACGCGCGATGAGGACGCAAGGGGCTTGGAAGGCCATGTCGACACTTTGCGGGCGGGGCGCGGCCAGCGGAAGCGGCCAAGGATGGACCGAGGTGGCGAGGATGCAAGGGTATCTACCCTTGGGAAGGCTGCCCATCCTTACCACGCGGGTTGACTGCACCCTAAGCCCAGATCGGCGATGCACAGCCGAACACGTGATCAAGACCGTGGTAAGCTGAGGCGCCTGGGCCAGCTCTCTGGAGGTTTCTTGGGACGTGCATGGGTCAATTTTCTTATTCACGCTGCAAGGAGCTGGACCAACTCTCCGGCAAACGGGTTCTGAAATGCTGGCCCAACTTTTCAAGAGGAGGGTTGTTAATCACATGCTCGACCGTACTGGCAACGGGGGGTCGATGCTTTTCCGTACCCCCCCTGTTTGGCACACCGACACGAGAACGGCAACAATGGAGATACTGCCCGATAGCACTTTTTGTCCGAAGCCAGCAGAAGCCGCTGTTGGGTAGGCGGCGTTGCCCCTGAATGAATGGACAACGAGCTCTGTTACGCAAGATTGGGCAAGAATCGCTGTTGGTCTTCGTCACCATTCTGTACGGCGGCCCCCTGGCCTGCAACGGCCCGTACGAGCCGAACGCAGCGAAAACCTCAAGACCCCCGACCATTCGAACATGTTTTTGGTTGCGGCCCCGGAGGTCGGAAGGAACTCGATCTACCGCCGCTGGCCTGTAACATGTCTATACGAAGGTTCAGAAACCAGGCCCCCCCCCCTAAAAAAACACCAACATCTTACGGGGGGTCAGAAACCAGGCCCCCCCCCGGAAAATTATCCAAAGAATCCAGAAACCCTCTCCCCCTCCCCCAGGAAAATAATTCGGGCAATCCAAGACCCCCCGGGGCAACGAGAACGACGACGACGACGCCGACGAAGACGAAGACGAAGGGGCAAACGTCAGCGGCGGGGGCGGCCTATTTGTTGCCAGCGCCCGCGCCAGGCGGAGGCACTGACAGAATACCACTAAGGCTCGCTCCAGCTCTTTCCCAGGGCTCTACTGTACTCCACCCTGCTCTACCCTACCCTACGCTACTTTTCTCTACTCTACCCTACTCTCGTCTACCCTACTCTACTCTACCCTACTGTGCCATACTCTACTCTACTCTACTCTGCTCGATTCTACTCTACTTTATTCCTATTCCTTCTTAGAATATGCTCTGACTCCCCCCTCTGTTCAATCGATAGTAACCCCATCCGTGGGGTCCCATCCTGACTGTAAAAATCAATACAAAGTCCCCGTTGTTCTTCTCAACATGGCCAGTCTTGTTGTCGACGATGCGAAATGCGTGGCAAGAATGGGACGCAGCGCACATCGCGCGCGGACGTCAATCCGGGCCCTCCCATCCTGACTGTGAAAAATCAATACCAAGTCTCCGACCCCTTGTGGGTCTCTACGCGTGTGAGATTGTTCCCCCACACATAACGCCCTCCAGGGACCTCAAACTGGAGATTTGACCCCCCCTTCCCTGGCCCTGGACGGACGCGTCATGGGAGCATAGAGGGCCCCAAAACGGGCCAAGAGGACCCCAAGACGATCCAAGAGGGTCCCGAATTGTCGAATGAGAGTGGTCGCCCCAAGACGCCCAAGATGGCATCCAGACGGCCCAAAATGCATCCCAAACGCCCCACCTCCAAGAGGCCTCCCAAAAGGCACCGAAGAAGTGAACATCGCCTCATTCCTTTAGGAAAACGTATGTTCCAAACATGCTCGCCTCTTGCGCTTCCACACCGTGCCAGACAGTCCAAAACGGCCCACAAGCGTCCCAAGACCGCCAAAGAAGCCCCGATGACGGCCCCAGAGGGCCCCCGGACGGCGCCAAAAGGGGGCCCGGGGGAAACCCGAATCCACATTTCCAGCCCTCGGCGCCCCCAGATTGCCCCAAGAAGCCCCCAACACGGCCCCAAAAGCCCCCAGGGAGGAGGAGGAGGAGGAGGAGGAGGAGGAGGAGGAGGAGGAGGAGGAGGAGGAGGAGGAGGAGGAGGAGAGGAGGAGGAGGAGGAGGAGGAGGGGAGCCCGAACAGAGCCCGCAAACGCCCCCGAGAAGCTCCCAGGAATCGGACAAAGCCTCGTGGACTGCAGCCCTGGACGCGCAGTAGTTTATAGAGGGGTCGGCGGATGTGGCGTAAGCCTATAGAATCAAGACCAGGTCTCCGTCGTTCCTCTCAACCTGGCCTGTCTTGTCGTCGACGATGCAAAATGCGTAGCAAGAACAGGACGCGGCGCGCATCGCGCACGGACGCCTGGGGCAACTCGAAGCGGGAGGGGCCATCCGACCTTGCATAAGCCAATCCAAAATCGGCATGTTTACTCTCATCGAGGACGTTCTTGTCGTCGGCTTTGCGAAATGCGTGGCAGGAATGGGGCGCGGTGCAGGTCACGCGCGACAGAGCGAAATGTCGCTCCCGCTTCGGCGCCGCGCGCATGTTTTCTGAAAGTTGCGCTCCCGCTCAGGCTCGGCGCACATTTGTCGCTCGCCAGTTCGTCGAACGCCTAGGGTCCCCTGGGGCCTCCCAGGGTCTCCTGGAACATCCTGGGGCTTCCCCAAGGCCTCGTGAATCCTCCTGGGGCCTCCTGAGGCATCCTGGAGATTCCTGGGATTCCCCTGAGTTTCCTGATACCTCCAAGAGCTCCGTGGAGCCTCCTGGAACCTCCTGGGGATTCCTGGGCCCTCGTGAGCCCTCCTGAGGCGTCCTGGGCTTCGCTGGAGCTTCCTGCAACCTCCTGGGGTTTCCTGAAGCCTCCTGGGGCCTCCTGAGCTTCCTGGGGCCTCCTAGGCTCGTACTGAAAAACCAGCGCAGTCATTGATACGCGCCAGGAATTTCCCATCGGTAACCGCCATCGCGGCTGCATCAGCTGTGGCAAACCACCTTGCCGATCTGATTTCGGTCCCCAGCTGCGCCAGCACTGTTTTTTTTTATGTTGTGGGAGGGTGGGTGGGAATGGGCATGCCATGCTTGACTCGCTCGATCTGGCTAGCTTGACCGTACTCTACGCCTACTCTACTCTGCTCTGCTCTGCTCTGCTCTACTCTACTCTACCCCTACTCTACTGTACTGTACTCCTACACTACTCAGCTCTGGTCTATAACATTTCTGCTCTACTCACTCATCTACTCTTGTCTAGCCGACCCTACTCTACCCTGATATGATCTACATCTTCCTCCTCGACTCTACTCTACCCTACCGTACCTCGCCCTACACTTCGTCCTCGTGGTCGGCGTCGGCGTCGGCGTCGTCGGGTTCGGCGTCGGCGTCGGCGTCGGCGCCGGCGTCGGCGTCGGCGTCGTGGTCGTGGTCGTGGTCGTGGTCGTGGTCGATGTCGTGGTCGTGGTCGTGGTCGTGGTCGTGGTCGTCGTCGTCGTCCTCGTCGTGGTCGTCGTCGGCGTCGTCGCCGTCGTCCGCTTCGTTTGCTGGCGGCGGCGACGTCGTCATCGTCACCGTTGCCAGAAGGGGTGGCTCTGGACCACCCCGAATCGTTTTCCCTGGGGCGGACACTCCCGCCCCCTCCCTCGTGGTTTTGGGGGAGCGGGGGGGGGTAGGGGGCAGAACCCTCCCCTGCCAACAGCCGCAGAAAGCGCTCGTTGAAAGGTCCCGGCCCCATCCCCGGGGCCGTTTTTGGCCCTGGGTCAGTGTTTGGATGGCCTCGGGGCCCGAAGGACGAGACGGCAGAAAATACCCGCGAGTAAAAGAACCATGTCGTCGGACCCTAAGATCTGACGCCACAGAACATGCAACATCGTAAAGAAACAAAACTCTACTGGAGCCCTGCGCCCAATCTTTCTGCACCATCTGTCGAGCCGGATCGATCCGTAAGGGTACCGGGGCCTGAAACAAGGCAAACTCGCCAGTCGCGAAAAATGCGAGGCCAGGATCTCAAAGGAGGCTGGGTTCCCAGAACTCCGACGTCATGTTCATGACGTGGACCCCCAGAGTTCTAGACCCATCCCTCGCAACCAGCTCTTTATATTGGGTCATCCTTTGACGGCCCCCCGGCTCCGCGAAGGCCCCCGAACGGAAAATAAATGATCCCGGCAAAGCAACCTAACAGCGATGTGTAGGAGCATATCTGGAAGCATTCCCCTTAAGATTCAGATGAGAATCCAGTTGTAGAATTCTGCTGTTCTCGCAGTCGTAGTCGCATTCGCGATGACAGTCGCAGTGGCAACGGCAGTCGCAGTCACAGCCTCAGCCTCAGCCTGCCTCAGCCTCAGCCTCAGCCTGCCTCAGCCTCAGCCTGCCTCAGCCTCAGCCTCAGCCTGCTTCAGCCTCAGCCTCAGTCTGCCTTCAGCCTCGGCCTCAGCCTCAGCCTGCCTCAGCCTCAGCCTGCATCAGCCTCAGCCTCAGCCTCAGCCTGCCTCAGCATCAGCCTGCCTCAGCCTCAGCCTCAGCCTGCCTCAGCCTCAGCCTCAGCCTGCTTCAGCCTCAGCCTCAGTCTGCCTTCAGCCTCGGCCTCAGCCTCAGCCTGCCTCAGCCTCAGCCTGCATCAACCTCAGCCTCCTCAGCCTCAGCCTCAGCCTCAGCCTCAGCCTCAGCCTGCCTCAGCCTCAGCCTCAGTTTGCCTTCAGCCTCGGCCTCAGCCTCAGCCTGCCTCAGCCTCAGCCTGCATCAGCCTCAGCCTCAGCCTCAGCCTGCCTCAGCATCAGCCTGCCTCAGCCTCAGCCTCAGCCTGCCTCAGCCTCAGCCTCAGCCTCAGCCTTCAGCCTCAGCCTCAGTCTGCCTTCAGCCTCGGCCTCAGCCTCAGCCTGCCTCAGCCTCACCTGCTGAGCCTCAGCCTCAGCCTCAGCCTGCCTCAGCCTCAGCCTGCCTCAGCCTCAGCCTCAGCCTGCCTCAGCCTCAGCCTCAGCCTCAGCCTGCTTCAGCCTCAGCCTCAGTCTGCCTTCAGTCTCGGCCTCAGCCTCAGCCTGCCTCAGCCTCAGCCTGCATCAGCCTCAGCCTCAGCCTCAGCCTGCCTCAGCCTCAGCCTCAGCCTGCCTCAGCCTCAGCCTGCCTCAGCCCCAGCCTCAGCCTGCTTCAGCCTCAGCCTCAATCTGCCTTCAGCCTCGGCCTCAGCCTCAGCCTGCCTCAGCCTCAGCCTGCATCAGCCTCAGCCTCAGCCTCAGCCTGCCTCAGCATCAGCCTGCCTCAGCCTCAGCCTCAGCCTGCCTCAGCCTCAGCCTCAGCCTCAGCCTCAGCCTCAGCCTGCCTCAGCCTCAGCCTCAGTCTGCCTTCAGCCTCGGCCTCATCCTCAGCGTGCCTCAGCCTCAGCCTGCATCAGCCTCAGCCTCAGCCTCAGCCTGCCTCAGCATCATCCTGCCTCAGCCTCAGCCTCAGCCTGCCTCAGCCTCAGCCTCAGCCTGCTTCAGCCTCAGCCTCAGTCTGCCTTCAGCCTCGGCCTCAGCCTCAGCCTGCCTCAGCCTCAGCCTGCATCAGCCTCAGCCTCAGCCTCAGCCTGCCTCAGCATCAGCCTGCCTCAGCCTTAGCCTCAGCCTGCCTCTGCCTCAGCCTCAGCCTGCTTCAGCCTCAGCCTCAATCTGCCTTCAGCCTCGGCCTCAGCCTCAGCCTGCCTCAGCCTCAGCCTGTATCAGCCTCAGCCTCAGCCTCGCCTCAGCCTCAGCCTGCCTCAGCCTCAGCCTCAGCCTCAGCCTCAGCCTCAGCCTGCTTCAGCCTCAGCCTCAGTCTGCCTTCGGCCTCGGCGTCAGCCTCAGGCTGCCTCAGCCTCAGCCTGCATCAGCCTCAGCCTCAGCCTCAGCCTGCCTCAGCATCAGCCTGCCTCAGCCTCAGCCTCAGCCTGCCTCAGCCTCAGCCTCAGCCTGCTTCAGCCTCAGCCTCAGTCTGCCTTCAGCCTCGGCCTCAGCCTCAGCCAGCCTCAGCCTGCCTCAGCCTCAGCATCAGCCTGCCTCACCACTCAAAATGTGGCCCAGGAATGGAGTTCTGGGAACTCGAAGAACACGAAGTGGCCTACAGTTGGCTCCGGGCATTCAAAATCATGCCCAGGAATGGAGTTCTGGGAACTCGAAGACCACGAAGCGGCCTACAGTTGGCTCCGGGCATTCAAAATCATGCCCAGGAATGGAGTTCTGGGAACTCGAAGACCACGAAGTGGCCTACAGTTGGCTCCGGGCATTCAAAAGCATGCCCAGGAATGGAGTTCTGGGAACTCGAAGACCACGAAGTGGCCTACAGTTGGCTCCGGGCATTCAAAATCATGCCCAGGAATGGAGTTCTGGGAACTCGAAGACCACGAAGTGCGTTACTGTTTGCTAAAAAAGGAGTCCCCGGCACCCGTCCCCGGATCCCGCCCAGACCACCCTGGGGAGTCATGATGCTCTCTTTCGACCCTACTTTAAACCTATCAGTCTTCGCTGTTAGGTAACAAAACGCCCGTCGTGCTTTTTCACGACGCGATGGGGTGTCGTCGTCGTCGTCGTCGTCGTCGTCGTCGTCGTCGTCGTCGTCGTCGTCGTCGTCGTCGTCGTCGTCGTCGTCGTCGTCGTCGTCGATGTCGTCGTCGTCGTCGTCGTCGTCGTCGTCGTCGTCGTCGTCGTCGTCGTCGTCGTCGTCGTCGTCGTGGGCACCGTGGCCTTGGGCGCCGCCTTGCCGGCGGCCGCCGCGCCCTTGCCCTTCGGCGGGGGCGCCTTCTTCGGCGGCGGCGGCCCGCCCTCGGCCGCGGAGAGCGGGGGGGAAGGATGATGAGGAGGAGGAGGAGAAGGAGAAGAAGGAGGAGGAGAAGGAGGAGGAGAAGGAGGAGGAGAAGGAGGAGGA